AATCAAAATCAAACTATCAGAATCAAAAACTTATATCCAAGCAACCCTTAGTAGCTATGACCACGGGCCGAACTAATCCACCGATCTGGCCCGACCTTGCCCAGAACCGACCTGCGGTCAACGGACCTTGAATCGAGTCCGTGGTTTGATTGGGTCGGTCGTAGGTCACATGTATGTATTTTTTGAACCGTCGAGCCAATTTCAAACCTACACCAAAGCCGACCCATGTATGTGTTCGAGCCGGTTTAGGGCCGTCTAACCTTTAGCCCGAAACTCGAAACCGATTTTGGCCATTTCTAACCCTTCAAAAACCCTCGTCTGGATTTGAACTCACCCCTCAAATCACCCTGTTATCGCTCAAAAGTGCAGAGGCTCGAATCCCATTCGAATGCGAAAATGGCGTCCATCGGGCAGGCGTTCAGATCCCTAATTCGAACACGCATTATCAGCACCCGATTGTACTACACGATGAGCAAGGAAAACAAGAAAGCATCACTGTACGCGAGAATCAGCCCCCTGGGGAACCCTGGCGTGAACGTAACTTCAGAGCTCGACAAATGGGTCGAATCAGGCAACAAAGTCGGGTTTTCGGAGCTTCAACGTATAGTTTTCGACTTTCGCAAACGCAGACGGTACACTCATGCCTTGCAGGTACTCAACTCATTAAATTGCACATATCAGCCCTTGGATTGTGCTGTTTACTCATTTCATAGGTGAAAAATGAAACCAGGGAAAGCTGTGAAATCCAAAATTTTACGTCAGTATGATGCAGTGTGATGTTTGATGTGCATCTGTGGGGGTACCTTGGTGTACTCTAGCTAAGGGATTGTCATGTTGATAATAAACATATGAGATTTTGCTCTTTTGAATTGGTTGTCTGTGTAAATGTGTAATTACATATGCCTTTGAGTGAAAATTTTAGCTTAATCAAACAAAAATAAGACCATTTATTGTAATGACAGTTCATCTTCTAGTTTTCTCATTGAATGATCTCCTAATATTCTGTCTATATTTTCACAGGTTTCTGAATGGATGAGAAATAGAGATACCTTCGAGTTCACCACTGTTCATCACGCAATCCAATTAGATCTCATAGGCGTAGTTCACGGCATTACGCAAGCAGAAAACTACTTCAACAGCTTGAGCGAGCAAATCAAGAACGAGAAAGTATACGGTGCTCTTTTACATTGTTACGCCCGTAAACGCCAAACAGAAAAGGCTCTATCACATCTTAACAGCATGATAGAAAAAGGTATCGCTCTATCTTCACCAGCTTTCAACGACATCATGGGCATTTACTTAAACACTGGTGAAAACGAGAAGGTCCCGGAAATTCTAAAACAGATGAAAGAAAGTGGCATTCAACCCAATAATCTCAGTTACAGGCTCTGCATTAATTCGTATGGCGTGAGATCTGATATTGAAGGAATGGAAAACATTCTTGATGAGATGGAAAGTGATTCCAAAATTGTTATGGACTGGAAAACATATGCAGCCGTCGCGAATTTCTATATCAAGGCAAGCCTCGAGAGCAAGGCGAATGTAGTCCTTAAAAAAGCCGAGGGCCGAGTGGATTATAAAGATGGGGTAGCGTACAACAGTCTTATCTCGCTGCACGCTCGACTGGGGAACAAGGATGATGTGTTGAGGCTTTGGTGTCTCGAGAAGAAAGCTTGTAAGAGGTACCTTAACCAGGATTACACCAACATGCTGGAATCTTTAGTGAAGCTCGGTGAATTTGATGAAGCAGAGAAAGTACTCAGCTGTTGGGAGTCGTCTGGCAATCAAATTGATCTTCGAGTGCCGATAGTACTTTTCTTTGGGTACATAGAGAAGGGTTTATGTGAAAAGGCTGAGATTTTGCTTAACCAGTTGGTGAAGATTGGTAAGGGGACGTTACCAGATATGTGGGGCCGAGTGGTGGAGGGGTACTTAGAGAAGGGTGAGGTGGATAATGCTGTCAATGCTCTGAAAGTGGCACGTTCTGTGCATGATGCGAGCGATTTTAGTAAACTTGAAAAGATGATTTCAGATTACAGAGAGAGGAACAAATGATGCATTTCGAAGGAGTTTTTGAAGCTTCTGGGGCAGTGAATAGGTAAGGAAGACTAATGTTTGAAACTTGTTTCCTGCTGGAGTTCTGGTGATGAAGTGAATTATAGAGTTTGTAGAGATCATCGAATTTGATAGTTATGACTTATGAGAAGTTATGAAATAGATGGAGAAAAATTTCTTGTCTGGGCCAGATAGAAGTGCGGGACTTGTGCATTTACCCTGCATGATTTTCATTTGATTTACTGGATATCTGCTCTGATATAGGAGGTAATGTTATATGCATGTCTGCAAAAGCTTGTGTAGGGCAATCTGGTAAAAGTATTTCATCTGACAGTGCAAAATGTATGTTGTCAATTCTTCTTTTAAGGTTATTGGACAATAGTTTCTTTAGTTTTTAATTCTCTTGTTCTTTTGTTTTTCCACTGCAAACCTAACAGGAGTGTTGCGCTCTCATATATTTGATGTTTTCATACCTAAGATCAGAGGTACAAAAATTGCTAGGCGTATACTAGGCAGGTTAGATGGAGTCTAGGCATGATGTGATTGGAGCCTAGACAGGTTAGACGGAAAATAATTATCAAATCAAAGATGTTGGCCTGCCACAGCCTAAGATAGATAATCACATTGGGAGGAAACCAACCACCATGATCGGCATTTGGAAGATTTTTAACAGCATAATCCTTTTTTTTTTGTTACTTCTTTTTTGGTGGGGACATTGATATATCGAGTATAAGCCAGAATCATGTGATATTCTCAGTTAATAGTTTCAGTATCCGACTTGCACATGCTTATATTAGCAGGGTGGACAATGATGAAAGTAGCAATCACAATGTACACTTCATATTTTTACTCTAAAAATATACAATGGCATTAGCGGTATTTTCCCGAGGGGTGTAGATTTTAATTAAAACAAGAAAAACTTCCATTCCAAAAAATATAAAACAACACGATATTTATGGGTAACCACGAATGAAATCAAGATCCCAAATTTCACCAAAAAATAGCTCAACCAAGACATAATTTTCAACATAAATCATTAATCCACCATTTGATAGAACCATGAAGCAAAAGGTGTCAGTCAACAATATTCTGCAGAACCACATTCGACTTATCCATATCCATAACTTGTAACTTAAACGAAAGCAACTATAGGTTCGGTGCACGGCTATTCCCAGAAAACATCAANAAGCCAAATTCAGAAACAACAAGCAAAAGCAATAATCACTCGGACAACGTACTCTTCAGCTCACCACTACCGCGCAACTCCATCACGATATCACAGCCCCCAACCAACTCCCCTTTGTAGTACAACTGGGGGAAAGTAGGCCAATTCGAGTAACTCTTGAGCCCTTGCCTCACCTCCTCATCCCCCAGAATATCAAATGAACCAAACTCCACTCCCTCTTCCTTCAAAGCACCCACCACCTTCGAGCTGAACCCACACCTGGGCTCATCCGGGCTACCCTTCATGAACAACATCACTTCCGACGAATTTACCAACTTTCTCAACCGATCCTCAAGAGTCTCCCCAAAAGGAATACCCTTCTCCCCCAAAACCTTCCTTAGCTCCCCACTCTTCTGCATCTCGAGCACAATGTCCGACCCTCCCACGAGCTCCCCCTTTATGTAGAGCTGAGGGTAGCTCGACCAGTTGGAATACACTTTCAGCCCCTGACGGACTTCATCGTCCGAAAGAATGTCGAAACTCTCAAACTCGACTTTCTCCTGTCTAAGTATGTCGACCACCTTACGACTAAACCCACACCGCGGCTCGTCGGCCTTTCCCTTCATGAAAAGCACGACTGGGGCCGAATTGATCAGCTTGCTTAAACGGGCCCTGAGAGCTGCACTCAGGCCCGAAGGCTCAGAAATTCCACCCTTCCCACTTTCGGGCTTGGGCCCGCCTGAATTATTTTCTTGAATTCCCTGGTCACGGAAGATATCCCTGAGCTCCCCGTTCTGCTGCATTGCAATCACTATGTCACAGCCACCGAGCAAATCCCCGTTGCAGTAGAGTTGGGGGAATGTGGGCCAGTTTGAGAATTTCTTGAGCCCCTCACGGACTTCGTTATCTGTCAGGATATCAAAGCTTCCAAATGGAATATTCTCTTTCTTCAGTATATCGACTACTTTCTGGCTGAACCCGCACTTGGGGGCCGTTGGGCTACCTTTCATGAAGAGCATGACTGGTTGAGAGGTGACTAGCTTGTGGAGTCTATCTGTCAGGGCATTATTATTATTATTATTATCTGCACTGGGAGAAGCAGTTTGGATGGTTTTCTGAGATGCACTGTTTTCTTGTGCCAGGTGTTGAACAGTCTCGAGAACTGTGGGGCCAGCGGCCATCCCGAGGCTAGCGGGGGCTGCGGGTTCTCCAGGTTTGATCGACCCTGCAACTTTAGCAACCTTGTTGGCCAGACTGGAAGGGTTCGCACCTTCCAGTGTATCGACCATCTTGCCATTCTGGTGGGGCCAAAAGGATATGCATGTGTTAAATAGTCTTCTAGAATGTGACCGTAAACAAAAATTTAGAGATTAGGGGCAGGAAGGGCAGAGGTGTAAACTCTGAAGAACATACTTTTTGAAAGGCTTTCGATAGTTTAATTGGAATTTCAGATTTGGCGGCAGTTAAGGAAAAGATGGGACAAAATCGATCATGATCATAGTAAATAAAATGAGAAAGAAAAACTAATTTTCTCAGTTTTCATGTAATGACATATATATACTAATGACAAATTTTTGTACCTTGAAAAATACAAAGAAGGGCACAGCAGAAACCGAGTATTTCTCAGAAATTTCAGGTTGTTCTTCAGCCTCTACCTGTAATATTACAAAAACTATCATCCTAAAAAGGGGCCATATAGAGAGACTTCTCTTCCAGGCAGCTTTAAAAAGGGCACGACAAGTTAGGGTCAAACAAATATCATGATTCACAAAGTAACTAAAGTAATAATGCAAAAGTAGCAATACGATTAAGGACATCAAAGCTTAAGTACAAGGATAATGAAATTAAACTCAAAGCTCAAGTGGAGTTTCTGCTTCCAGATTGAAGCACAAAAGCAATCACTATGGATAGAGGATTATGTATACACACAATAGCAACCTTGATTTCCCATACCCACTAAATGGCATCCACCATAAACCATTCATTTCTTAACTTTTAGCAGATCAGTTACCTCAGGATAGCACATTTTCCTGTAAAGATTTTAGGGTTTGACTTTCAGATCCTCACAATCCAAAAATTCTCGCCCTCTAGAGCACTAGGGCAAATGCGATAAAGACACTCTTGATATAAAATAGGCACACAACACACTTCATTATCTCACCCATTCCTCAATACTTTTACAAGCATCCAATTACATTATCCACTGCTCTATGCTCTATCTTCTTCTGAACAGATCTACTGGACTTTTCTATCAAGAAGTATCAGAACGCAAAGTTGCTTCATGAAAAAATGGTTTGATCCAAAATAAAACCCTTGACACATTCTGTTTCATCCACAAGTTTTCAATCGAAAACCATAAATCCCTTTGTGTTCCACCCTCTTTCAAAATTAGAACCCTAATAGCCGCAATCAGCAGGTACAACACGTGTACACATACACATCAAAATAACAAACAAATAAAATAATTATCTAAGACTATCGCATAGTCGTATCTTGATATACCTATACCCTCGAACAAAAATTGAGGGAATCGTTTCAATTTCAGAATCAGAAGGATAAAGAGCAGTACAAGTGGAGGATATAGCAATATACATGGAGTAAGGAACAGAAGTGAGGAGAAAGTGTACCCTAAGAAAGCGCGCGAGAGGAAAATCTGTGGAGAGATGCGAGAACACTTGATCCATGTGCTTGGAGGCATCACACCACGAAGCCCAGAAGTGCAGAATCACCGGGACACCCTCACCGACGGTGTTGTCAAGTTCCGCCATGGATTTCACCTCCTTCACCGATCCTCCGCCGGGCACAGCCATACTGTCTAGAAGATACTGCGAGGTAGCGTGGCTGGAGCACGGATTTATTCTGTGGGTTTTGGTATAAAATTACAAACTGGGGACCTCCAACGCTTTCATATAGTTGCGTTTTTTTCAATCATTAATTATTATTTATTATTATTATTGATATAAAATATTAAAAAAACTACCATCCCGTCACAAATCATTACATGAGAGTTTTTAGTCATTGATTATCTACAATAAGTAACTTTTATGTATATCCAAAGGCTAAAAACTCTCCCAGAATGATATTACTATTATCCAGACGTGGCCAAATTCCGGTTAAAGATTGGTTGGCAGGCCAGGTTGTTGACGGACGTTTCCGGTCAACGGTAAAAAAGTCAAGCAATAAAAAGATAATAGGAAAAGGACAAAGAAATACGATTCAATCACGATTTTATTAGAAGATCACGAGGTCGGCCTCTCGTGCGAGGTCGGCACTTGCGATATACTTACAGTTTCTTACACGAGTTTCTTACAAGTCTAGAGAGAGAAAATATCAAGAAAGCTTTTTTACAGTTGGGATTCAACAACCTAAAATAAATGAAGTGGGCTGCTATTTATAGTGGCCTTAAATGTGACACTGTTCAAGCACTGTTCACCAGTCTTGTCGTACAGTGTTCTCTGCAGAGCAGTTCGGCGCCTCCCTGACAGAATTTAATGCGATTTGAGGTTTTCCTCATCATTGCCTGACAGGCATTTAATGTGTTCATGTGGGTCATTTAATGCTGGCAGGCTTTATGTCTTGGCTAGGGGAAGTAGGTCTGCAGGCTAGGATATCCCGTCCAGTCACCAATGATTACTCCCCAAGTGGTATTATTATACCATTATCTAGATCGGCATTTCTCATTGGGGAGACCCGTTCTGAGACCCCAGGTCGGCACCTTATCTTCGTTCGTTCCTCCAGTTCTGGGGAGCCTTCCTCCAGCTCGTCACTCGTCAGATCGGCACCTGGACTTCACTGCTGCAAACGCCGGGCTAACTGACGGGCTCATGGGGACGTTACGGTCAAAAAAGTTTTCCGGTCCAGCTCGGCACTTTCTCGCTGGTCCGGGTCTCCGGTTCGACTCTCGAACTCGGGTGTCAACACAGGTCAAGTTCGAGCCGAACACGATCGAACCTGTAGGTAAGTGTATTTTTAATAATTGGAGAGGGAGATAAAAAAAAATTAGACTTGGACTTAGTTGACATATTATAAGTTAATATACAAATTAAGTTGAAATTTTTTTTTATTAAAAATAATATTTTAATTTATAATATGTCAATGAAATTGTTTGCTTATTCCTTACATTTGAAATCAAGTCCTCGCAGTTTACTTACTTTATTTACCTTGGTGAAAAAAGATGACATGATGTGTTGAACCATCTAGTAATCGTATTCGTTGTCTCCGGTTGTTGTACTGGTTCCACTAGTACTAGTAAAATCATCTGACTCTTCGTCATCCTCTTCAGTAGTTAGCATGGCCGTTTGTGTTATTCGTTCGGCCTTCTTTCAATCACTTAACATCATTGGAGCCTCTAAATATTGTGGCGTCAACCTTGACCGTCGTACGTCTATTGTATATTTTCCCTCGCTAAATGTTTGTTCAACCGCCACAGTTGAGGCCGGGACATAAAAAACCTCCTCGACCATCAAATATGAAACATGATAAGTGGTCTTCATTTTTTATCACCAATCCAAGACATCGAATGTGAGTGGCAGAACTGGTGGTCTAGCAATCGTAATTTTGAGATTCGAGACCAAAAAGTGCTCGAGTTCATTTTATTCAGTCCCCATATTTCTTGCAATCTTAGCATCCTTCTAGAGATTAAAATTTGAAGCCCACTTAACAATGTTTTCACCTTTCGGCGTCAATTAGGATAAATAGTAAGAAGAAGAAGAAGTAAGGATGACACATGATTATAACTCAATTGGGCGTGAAAAGTACATATATATATGTACATATATGATGTCGATGACCTAGATCTGAGGTGAACTGGTTGTTGTAGAGCTCCGATCGTTTGTAGATAACTGATGACCTGCAAAAAGGGTTGGGAGGATCTCCCAGTGTTTGCACTCCAACGCCCAAATTAGCACAGGGAGGGAGATAATAAGCTCTGTAAGTATAGAGTGTGGAGTGTGTAGAATATAGAGATTGTACAATGGTACCTAAGCCACTTCTATACGGGAGTGTCTTGGTGCCCAAGATTGGGCTGCCCGATTTGCCCAACTGCCCGGGTCAGACTGTCTGAAACGGTTACGAGCTGCTCGGGGTTTAGTCTTATTCTAATGTCATCCTCATTCTCATTAGATTTCTTCTCATCCTCTTTAGATCTCCTTAGGTTCCCATTAAGTCCTTAACTCGACCTTCACTTCTGGTATCTGTCGTAGTTAAAGTATCCATAGGTCACAATAGAGCAGGTCGTCTTTCTAGATGTAGTAGTAAAGTCCCTGTTGTAGTAGTGAAGTCCCTGTTGTCGTTCTAGGGGTCGCCTTCAACAATGAATTAAGTCGTATTCTCCCAAGCATGTCGTTTTCTTCTTGGCTTAGGTCAGTATTCCAGTTGTCCTTTCCTATACCCATTCCTTAGGTCGACCTGGCTCTTTCCTCAGCCGGTCGACCTACCGAGACTTAGTGTCAATCCGGTATAACCTAATTATGGCTNTATATATATATATATATATATATATATATATATATATATATGTTAAGGCGTCGTTTACTTTGCGGGGTGGGACTGGATAATGAAAACTGTCACCCCCTTTTGTACAATGTTTGCTTTCATGGATTGGGATGGAATTGATCCCACTTAGCGCACATGTGGACTGTGGGCCCCACTGCTTATCAAATATTGGAGGATTAAATTAGTCCTGCCCCATACGGGGTTTTTTTAGGGTTAATTACATTTAAAATCCTAACATTTTATTTAGTTGCAAATAAAACTCAACTTTTTTTATTTGGCGAAAAAATATCAAACCTTTAATAAGTATTGCAATTGTGTCTCAAAATCAGTTTTCGGCCAAGGCACGCCGAAAAAACGAGCTCGGGGGCGGTTGTGCACAGAGGGTAGCCGGAAATGGAGCTCATAGCTGGGCTCGAAGGAGGTCGCTGAAAGTTGAGCTCGCGGCTGGGGGAAGCTCTCCGGAGAGAGAACGTCGGGGAGAGAATGTCGTGGAGGTCGACCGAAAATTCACGAAGAAGATGACCGAAAAAGTCATCACCAAAAAAAGTCATCGGTTCCTGCGAAGGTGGACGTCACTAGATGCGGCTTTGCGAGAGGAGCTCAACGGTACCTTCGGATTCACGTGGATCAAAGCGAGTCACCGGAAATTTGCGAAAGAACACCAGAGAAAATTTGTAGATCTACGAGCTTTGATCGAAAAATTAGAAGCCTTATCGTTGGAATTTTTTCGTGAAACTCGGATATGTTGCCGGCACGGATAAGAGCTACAAGATCATATAAAAATTTTCAACATCTGACCGGCGGAGGGTGGCGGTTGGGGGCGGTCCGGCGGCGGCGAAAGGTGAGTGGCGGCCGGAAACTGATTTTGAGACACAATTGCAATATTTATTCAAGGTTTGATATATTTTTTGCCAAATTGAAAAGATTGAGTTTTATTTGCAATTAAACAAAAGGTTATGATTTTAAATGCAATTAATTTTTTTTTTATCCCAATCTTTCCTTTACATATTTGCGGACCCTACTATTTCAGACAATCCCATCATACAAAGTAAACATCGGACAATTTGTTGACGTGTAAAGTATCTTTGATTAATTTATCTAATACCATCACACAAAAGTAAACGACTCCTAAAAAATTTGTTAAAGATGCATAAAATTAGGTATATAACTTTTTGGGGTATGTGTCTTATTATACACAATTTATGTATTATATTATTATTATTATTATTACTACTCATGTACTATGAGAAATATGCATAAATTTGTCACATGTCCCGTCCAGCCGTCCTGCATATGCTCATGAGCATTGCCTCCTACTACTACCTGGGGAATTGTGGATCACGTAATAACCTGATGAAGGATTACAATTTATGTTTAACAGGAAACAGAGATCTAACCTTAATTACTAGAACACAATGTTGACAATCATATACATGATAAAACAGAGATAAATATTAAATACATTCCGTTCTTCAAAATTCAATTAAAAAGTCTCTCCTCTTTTGTTAGTTCTATTCAAGTTGCATTCACTTGATGTAGGCAATCGTACATCCATAGTTTGTCAGGCTTTCCTGCTCAAAGTTTGCAATGCGCGGATGTTTTCTAAGTCGTTCGAGTACATACTCCCTCAAGACGCCAGTTCCTATACCGTGTATAATGAAGACAACAGATTTGGAGCCTCGCGAACTTATGGCCATGTCGAGTTTTACAGCAGCTTCCTCAACTCGCATTCCCCTTAAATCCACCGTGTTTTTAGACGTTTGGACCACAGCACCATAAGAAACCTCGTTATCATTTATAGTTTCCGAAAGATTCTTGAATCCTTTGACCCGTTGTTGACCCTACAGTTTACAATGGCATATTCACAATGTTGATTAAAACAAAGAAAAAATCACCTAAGCTAGCAAGTTTAGGGTTACATGCTTGGATATAAAAAGTTGTGGTTTTGTTTTGATTTTTTGGTTTGAGTTGGTTAAATTTGAAAAAGTTGGTATGGTTAGTTGATAATGGGTATATTAAAATAATATTTAAAATATAACGATTAAAATTAATTTGATGTAAAATTATGAGAGATAAGATGTGATGTGATGGTTAGTTAAAATTATCTGAGTTGATGAATAATGAATTAAGGTTGATGTGGTATTAAGAATGATTGATTGATATTATTTAATTATATTGATAATATTGATGATAGTGGGGTTGAGTTAAAGTTGAGTTAAAAAAAGTGGTTGAGTTAAATATGATTGGATTTTTTGGGATGTTTTGTATCCAAGCATAAGATAAACATACCTGTCTTTTTGAGTGCGAGGCTGAAGATGAGACACGATTATCACCATCGAGAGGACTTATACCACTTGCATTCACGCGGGCTCTGATTTTACCATATTGGACAAGGACCATCTTATCGTCAGACGGCGCTTCAACTACAGTGGCCACCTTATTTCCTAAACCTTTTACAAGGACTTGCTCCCCAACTCGTGGAATGTAGGAACTAATTCGTCTATTGACGGGAAGATTTTCAGAAAGCTGACGAGCTTTAACAACAGATGCTATGACAGATTCTGATTCCTTCAAAAGTTTGCCATAGTCATCGGGGTTTGTATTTCTCAGTTGTTTCTCGAATTCTTGCACTATAGTATCGATCTCAGCCTTCACAGCCTTGAGTTGCTGTTGAACTTGTTGGGTTTCTTTAGCTTTCAGAGCTGCTTTGCGTGCATCAAGATCATCTGCCTCGTCACAGATCTTCAAATAACGTTTAACATGAGGGACATTGAAAAACTGAGAAGTCAACATCAATGAGCTATAACATTCGACAATCAACAGAAATAACGGCTGGTTGAAATTAAATTCTAGAAGCAGAGTTTTAGACAGAAAAAAGATTGTAAGAGTAAAATCCCCAAATAAAATTTGGTAAATCTGACCTCATTATAAAGCTTCAGTACGTCTGAATGAAGAGATGTAGCTCTTTCTGCCTGAGCCACCAGTTTATTTCTCTCTTTCACAAGAGACTGATACAGCGAACTATTGAGTTTCTGCATCTTTTCTGGCGCGAGCTTTTTCACCCAAGATTTCGCCCGCTCGATTATATTTTCATCAAAGCCGATTGTTTTCGCAATACTCAATGCATTTGATCCGCCCATGCTTCCCCACAGAATCCGATACGTTGGCTGTAGGCTCTCCATGGAGAACTCCATAGCCGCGTTCTCAAACCGTGCATCTTTTTCTTTTAATCGGGTTAAATCTGCATAATGGGTTGTCACAACAGCCAGATTTACTCTCTCTTTGATATATTGCAATATGCTGGCTGAGAGAGCCACGCCTTCTGCAGGATCAGTCCCGCTTCCAATCTCATCAAGGAGGACAAGAGATCTTTCAGAAGCCACTTTCAGGATTTTGTTAATTCGTGATATGTGCCCGCTAAATGTTGAGAGGCTCTGCTCTAGAGACTTCAATTGGACACACCCAAAAAAAATAAAAAAAATCACATTTCTTTATGTGTTCTGCATTACAAAGGACAAATGAAGTAAAAGAGAATCAATTACCTGCTGGTCGCCAATATCTGCAAGAACGAGATCGAACCATGGAAGTTTTGGATTGCTTTGTGCAGGAAGGTACATTCCAGCTTTGAACATTATAGAAGCCAGCCCTAGAGTTTTCATTGATGCTGTTTTACCTCCTGTATTGGGTCCTGAAATCACAATCACCTTTACGCCATTTCCAATTCTGAAGTCAACGGGCACGGGAAAACCCAAGGCAACTGGGACTATTTCAGAATTAGTGCTACCAGGTTCTTGATCCGAATGACATGCACTCCTTGAAGTGGAAAGAAGGGCAGTTTTTTTAAGTGAAGACTCGAGAAGCAAAGGATGCTGCATACCGTTTATATGCACCAAAAACGAATTATACTCACAATTTTCATTTTCGGAACTGAAATATGGACAGACTCCATTCATCCATCGAGCATGACCAGCTCTTGCAAAAGCAAGATCCACTTCCACTATTCTATCTAATAGATACTTGATTTGCTCGCTAAATTCCGCAATCTCAGCACTAAGCAGGCTTAGTATGGTTAACTCCTCCATCTTTTCAGCATTCGATAGCCTCACTTCATTATTATTCAAATCAACCGCCTCACGTGGTTCCATATAATAAGTTGCTCCAGAGCCGCTGGAGCCCAATATTATTCCACTAGGAAGCAAATATCTATGTGTAGTCCTGATTGCCACACACATTCTTGATCTCCGTTTGGTAACCAGAGGTCTGTCAATCCCACCAGCACGGAAAATCTCACTCGATATATTCTTCAGCATGGACTCGAGATTTTCCATATTAGTTTTCTTCGCAGACCTAATTAATTCCAATTCTTCACTAGCTCGGGTCAGGACTAAAGAGTACTTACAGTCTACACAGAATTCTATCTTTTGCTCCAACTTTGTCAGGAAATCACACTTCTGAAGAATTTCGAGCAGTGGGGAGTACCTGATTGGATACGAAAAAGACATATAGTCCAATGACACGGCTAATCAATCACTTGATAACTGAGCAACATTCAAAAATCAAGAGAAAATGTGTTTATTTAATGCTCTGATGGTAACCACACCACAAATTTGTTTATTTTCTAATCATAGAAGGGAAGCCATAAATAAAATCAAACGAAAAAAATTACACACCTCTCGTATGAATGACCCTCCGATGATATCTCCTCCAACTGCTCGACCAATGATCTAGCCGACCTCAGCGTTTTACTCACAGAACAAAGTTCTCTGATCGATAGCATCTCACCGGAAACGGCCGCATCCACAATCGGAGAGACGTCTTCGATTCCCGAGAAGTCCAACTGCCGAGAGACCGCCACGGCTGCGGTTGTCTGGTCCAGGAAACGGCGTGTCTCGCCCGGACTTCGGCCCAACGGGATGCGTGCTGAACGCGCCGCCGCGAGGCCCATGGAGGTGGAAGAGAAGGCGGAGAGCTGGGTGCACACGGACGGCCATTCGAGGATTTTGAGAGTCTCGGACTGGAGTGACTCGGCGAGTTTGACTCGTTCGGTCTCCGGCTCAGCAGATAGGGCAACGCGGGACGTGGCGGCGGTGAGGCGGGACAGTTTCAGATGCGGCGGTGGTGGGTTCCAGGTGAGGAGGTTGCGGCCGAGTATCATGGGAGGACAGCCGCAGGATTTTGAAGTCCTCTTTTCCTATCCAGAATTAAAAGCAGTGAAATAAATGGTGGGAATTGAAGCAAAGACAAAAAAAGTGGTGACTTTGAAGGTGTTTTGGACTATTTATGGGTCTTGTTGTGGCCCATCTGTGAAAGCAATGACGTTTGAGCAAAATATTGGCCCAACTTGTAGATGCTTTGTCATTGATTGAGGAAATTACAAAGACTCTTTCCATTTATATACAATGGGCTTCACTGCGTTGAAGTGAAAACTTATTTGAGATTAATAAACATATAAAAAATTCAACTCCAAATCCGAAAATCTTAAAAAAATTATAAATCTCACAAAGAGTCTCTAATATCATCTAAATTCTAAATGAATACTCTCGTTAATAATAATAATAGCCATCTTAGATGAAAAATAGTCATATGGGCATATGTGAGAATACTGATTTAGGCGTGCCCTCCCTTTTTCCGCTGCTTCATTGAAACACTGTCATTTCACCTTTTTTTTTACACCGTCGACAGAGGGGATCATTATTCACTCAAAATTCTGCCGCTACGAGAGGGAGAGGCGCACGTCCATCAATCCCGAAGTTTCTGTTCACAGCAGTGAAGCATCGGCTAGGGTTCGGCGACGTACGCCGTTGGAGCTTCGCTAAATCGATTCTGGTAATTCGTGGAATTTATTCAAGACGATGTGAAGAAATTCATCTTATTTTAAACAAAGCAGCTTTATTGTGGTTTACCATAAATTTGTCTTTCTATGTTTGTTACAAGTCAAGTTCATAATAGGCGAGCAATTACGAATATGGTTTAGCAGTTTACTAGGATCTGGGGTCTTCTTCTTCTCCAAGACTTGATGCCTTATCTGCTTATTGAGCTTAGAACTTCTTTCAAGCTATTTGCGTGAAGCATTTGTTTTCATTGTATTTGAAAGCCAGCAATCTTTAAGGAAGATTTCTTTGCTGTGTTTATTATAGTTGATCCTTTTCGCCATGGAATTTGGGACTAATTAGTTTCAATATTTATGGGTTAGTCTGAAGGTGTAATTTTATGACGGCAAGATTTCAAAATGGCCTTTTTTACATGCTTCGTCAGCAGAGTTCTTGTTAATTTTGTTGATGTGATGTGGGGATGATTAATTGATATTATTTAATTATTTTGATATTGAGTAGAATCAAATTGAGTTAGATTGGGCTGGATTTTGAGTTAAAAATTTGAATTTGAAATTATTTGGTAGATTTGAAGTGGATTTGATTGGTTAATCCGGATCAGACCTTTTTAGCTGGTATCATGAATGTCCTACAAGCCTACGCTGCTTTGGTTAGTAGACAAGCTCAACTGCAAACAAGGAAATATTTCAAGAGTTAGTCATTTCTTTGTTACAAAGAACTTCGTTGTAGATTGTGATGCTAATTAACTAATCATATCATGGGTCAATGAGCACATCAGTATTCTTTAAGCCCAGCATTAAACTGATCAAGTTCCGTGTCTACTACTGACTTAAGAAAGGACACTGCTAACGGACGACCCGTAGATGGCCCTCCCACGCATTCCTTTGATTTCTACTCTGGATTTTGTTAGCTTAAAAGAAATACTAGTCCTGGGCTTAGGTAGTGAAGATATGGGCAGGTCTGGGACTCTAGCATACCATTTATTTAGTTGCTGAAATGCTGGAGACTAAGGGTTTCCCATAAATCAAATTGCTACTTTCGCTTAGAGAACTGAAGAGCGGGGCGCCATTTTTTCCTTTGTCCAGTATCACAGCAGAGCTAGGGAGGTCTAACCTTAGCAGAGAAGTGCAAAGTCATCCTTGTTTTTGTTAATTTATTTATTCCAAATTCATTTCTTACATGTTTTTTTGTAAAATGCAACTTGAACTACATATATACAATTATTTTCACGCTCGACTACTTTCTGACCGTCCGATCATCCGCAAAAAAGGACACGTGTATGGTCAAGATGTGGTCGAGCGTGCAAATAGTGACTGTATATGTAGTTCAGGTTGCATTTTGCAGCAAAAAATACTTTAGGTTGAAAATCTCAAAAGCTGGAAAAAATTATTTACCCCCCCTTTTTTTTTAACACAATGCTTCACATCAAATAGTTTGAACCGAGTTTTGATCTTTCCCAAAAAAAATTTTGCAGCCGGTAGCCGAACATGAACAACGCATGTTTCGCCAAACTCACAATGCCACTCCCCGTGACGAAAAACTTTCAGGTCGTGGCCGTTCGATACTTCTCGACTTGCGCGGCGGCGGCCCCACTCTTCCGCTCCTCCTCCTCCACCCCACTCGTCCACCTCACCCCGTCCTTCGTCCTCAACTCCTGTCTAACCTCCTCGTCTGACGCCCCACAACGGTCAAACGAGTGGTTCGCCCTCCGCAAGGACAAGCTAACGACGAGCACCTTCAGCACAGCCCTCGGCCTCTGGAAAGGAAACCGCCGTTACGACCTCTGGCACGAGAAAGTCTTCCCACCTCCCGATTCCGACTCGGACGTGGGCCCCACAAAGCACGGCGCAATGGAATGGGGTGTTTTGAACGAGGCAGTGGCGATCGAGCGGTACAAGCGCATAACGGGCCGAGATGTGGGCTCGTTGGGCTTTGCGGTCCACGCGGACGAGGGGCTGAGCTGGATCGGGGCCTCGCCAGACGGGCTTCTCGGGTGCTACCCAGGAGGTGGGATTTTGGAAGTGAAGTGCCCGTATAATAAAGGTAGGCCGGAGATGATGCTTCCGTGGTCGAACGTGCCGTTTTACTACATGCCTCAGGTGCAAGGGCAGATGGAGGTGATGGATAGGGATTGGGCGGATTTGTACTGTTGGACTCCGAACGGGAGTACGATATTCCGAGTGTGTAGAGATGGCGGGTATTGGGAGTTGATGCGCGGGGTTTTGCGCGAGTTTTGGTGGGAGAACGTTTTGCCAGCGAGGACGGCTGTTTTGGCGGGGAGAGGGGAGGAAGAGGTGAAGTCGTTGTTCAAGCCGAGCTCGACGCACAAGTTGACGGGGCTCATCATATCCAGAAGCTTGAAAATGGCGGGCGAGACGAAAATGCTGTGTAAGGAGATTGCGGGGCATGTCGAATATTTTCGTTGATTTATTTTTTATTTTCTTTGTTTGATGGAAGATGGATGGAGTTTCTTTGACAACAACGTTCATCAGGCATTCTGTAATTTAGCGACCTATGTGCTGCTGGTGTTATTATTTTGATGGTTAGTTTCCTTGAAATTAGATTTGTTCTTTCTCCTTTTTTATTAGCATAAGTTTGCTATTTCATACTAGACTAGATTCGGTTTTTGTATACGTTTGATATGTTGCAAGCATTCAAAGATGGTGGGTTTTTGTATACGTTTGATATGTTGCAAGCATTCAAAGATGGTGGGTTGCAGTCTCTTGTGCTTTTCAGAAATTTTGTCGACTAAATGTTTGGATGTAGGAATAGATAATGAGGTCCTATAGTGGACTCATGGGGACCTCGCGGCTGATTGAACTTACAGTTACGACAACATGATCTAAGTGAAATACTCAATTTCAAAAATATTAACTTGGCCAAGTAAATCTACATTCCTAAAATAGTTAGGACAACATGATCTAAGTGAAATACACCATTTCTAAAATATTAACTTGGGCAAGTAAATCTACATTTACTAAAACAATAATTGAACCGTCTTGATAATCTCAAATATTGAATCCAATCGTACCGAAAAATAAAAATCTTGGAATCGAATCGATTTTTTTGCACAATTCTAAAGATTCAATTTTAGTGACCTCTAAATTTCGACGCGGTCTTAGAAATTTCTTGATTTATGAACCATGACTTACGCTCACTTTATTTCTGAACCATACAGACTCATAGTCACCGCTTCCATTGATGCCGTCACATCAATNNTTTCTGCTGAAATTCCCTTACTGCCCCTCAAATCACCGGCGATTAGGATTGTGAACGAGAGAATATAGACGACAGCGAGTGGGCGAGCCCCAACACGATCGCCGCCTTCACTTGCCCCCGCTTTGGAATCGGACGGCTGTACATCGCTCTCCTCCTTCGATATCCACCGTTGATCTTCATCATCTCTCTGCGACCTCCTTCCATATTATTTTCTTTTTCTTTAAATGAAATTGTTGTATGGGCAATTTTTTTACTTGATTGCGTGTCTTGTTGTGTGATTGATTGATAGTTTGATATTCAGTGCAGTGTCATCAGTGTGTTATATATATAGGGATTTTATACCGAAAATGCCCCCCGGGTTTTGGAATATTTTTTTAGCTAGGCTTCTAAATTAAATAAAGTGGTACGCATAAAAGATCACGTGGTTAATTCACATGTTTATTGTTAGTGGGAACTAAATATGCTGAGGGCCCAAATTTGATGGCTTTATGTCTCCATCTTACGAGCTCTTTAAATGGGAAAAAAAATAAAATAGAAATAATTATATAATTTTATATACCAAGTGCAATGAATTGTGACTAGATTTTCAAGATTCCTTGAATTGGTGAAGGATTTATTGTGTCACTCCATTATTGGCGAGGGCGATTTATGGTTCATAATTAATTATGACCTAGCCGTGCTTATCTTCTTAAAGCAGGTGGTAAGAGTATCTCCAATGTGGCTTTTGACATTATAAAAATTTATCTATATCATCAACTTTTAAAAGTGTGTTACAAATTTATTCTTCAATGCATCTAGTCATGAACTCTTTTATGATGAGGTGAATAGCATTTAATGTTAACAATGTTGAACACACTTTCTAATATCTAACACCATGTTAAACATGATGACTAATCAATTTACTTCATATTTGATTTAATTTTTTATTGTTCTTGTATTAATGATTATTTTAATTGGTCCACCTATACAAATAACTTCTTATGAAATTGATGCATTGGAGATACTAGTTTGATTCAAATTTCTACTCTTTTAACATTATTCCTACATGGATTAACATTACAATCATTGATTGACATGTGTTAAAAATTATTGTCTTTCAAAGCTATAACATTGGAGATGCTCTAATAGTGAGTGACTGATTTTTGAATATTATTCTTAATATATAGCATAAGACAATGTTCTGCCTCTTTGAAAAACTATTCACAATTAGTGGGTTTGGTTGGTTAGCAAGTTTGTTGTAGGTTAATTATGTTGCAATTAGGTGTCATGTCTTGAAAAGATAATGTAAAACTACCTAAGTCATTTCCAAAAGTGTGAAAAATTACCTTGAATAATGTGTAGCTGGTTTTGTTTGAGACTAGATTACAGAAATTATAACAAATCACCTTGAATAATATGTAGGTCGTTTTGTTTGCCACTTAACAGATAAATGATTGTTGATAAGTAATTTAATTAGTTGATAGCTGATTGAATAAACATAAACAGATTTGATCAGTTTGAGTGGATTAACGAATTATGCAAAATATTTGGTAAAAATAATTAGGTGTTTGATATAATATGTAACTACGATTACAATCCTTTATTACAAGATGTTAAGAGCTCAAAATAACATTTTGGACGCAAAAAAAATTAAGTTTAAACTGCAGCTTACATAAAATAAAACTAGTTTCTGATCGGTCAAACCACACTTCACCCTCAAAGCTCTAATTTAGCCCTTGCTCAAAGAACGTGTTTATATGATACAAATCCATTAATTGATATCAAACAATTCAGCCAGCCAACAACTTTTTGTGTTTGTTGTTTCCAGTACTCGGATGAGAGGGAATTTCCTAAATTAATTTAAGCAAACTAACGAGATGACTCGGTTGGGGGCATTTTATTTACTTGAAAAAATTTTATTCTTATGTTGAATGGGACGGAATTAGTTAAAAGCTGGTGCTTTTACTTTTTATTTCACAATAAACTTTAAATCATGCAAAATATCGAGACAAATCTTGAACCATTAATNAAAAAAAAAAAAGGGTTGATTCACATTTGGAACATGGCCTGGAAAGTGGGTGCAAATTGGAGAGAAATAATTATCATATTAAAAAGATGAGTTAAAAAATGTGTAAAGACAAAACAAATTTAGTTTTATTGGCGTTGTTCACACAGCTTTTATTTAAACAATGTTCTTTTCATCACACGGGCGGTTGGGGGCAAATAATTGCATAATTTTTTTTATATATATTTTTAATTCAAAATTTAATTCAATTTTTTTCTAACTTAATTTCCCTTACTTTTTATTAAAATAATTAGTTTTGTACTCAACTCATTTTAATTTAACTTAATTCTCCAACATTTTATCAGTATAATTAATACATAGTCCGTATGATGTACGAGCATAAGAATATATATATCACATACATAAAATAAAAGAATTGTAAAAATACTAGTTTTGCATCGTCCGACAAACCTACTATAATAGTTTATTGTTAGACAAGCAAAATAAAATTGAAATTTTTTTCTATCTATGTATTTATAACTTAATTAAACTTATAGTACTTATTATTAGTAATATATGGTGTATATTTATATACATATAACAATTACAATATGTATTAACTAGTGGAAAAAACGCTTTTTATATCGGGTGAAAATGACTTTTTATTGAGTCATTATCCTTTAGGAGAATGATTACACTATATATATATTATGAGAAAGAGGGATAGTGAAATAAATAAAAACAATTATGGACCATTAATAGATTTATCAAGTGAATGGTCATAATCAAGTCAAGTTTTAATAATAGTAGTCAAACATGTGATAGTAAGATAGTAAATAATTGAACATATTGTGGTCATATATATCCATTTTGTCAATCATTAAGGGTATACTGGTCATTCCATATTTTGCCAACACATCTAGTGGACCTCACCAACAGACACCATGTATCTCACACACACACACACACACACACACACACACACACATATCGGGACACACACACACCACACGCACAGGAAACACGCACAATCCCCACTTTCTCCATTGAAGCCGGCGGCCCTGACCATCAGCCACCAAACCGCCGCAGCCACAGCTCCGACCCCGTCGCCACCTCCGGTCACAGCATTCGACACCTGCTTCAACTAAGGCATGTCCGGATACTGTAGCTCCTCCCGACCACACACGCACTACAAGAATAATCATTTTTAGTGACGGTAATTTTTGTCGCTATGTCGTCACAAAAAATACCGTCACAATAAGAGGTATTATTGTGACAACATTCGAACATATAGCAACAATATTAGGACATTATTAGCGACGGTATTTTTTCTGACGACATAGTGACAAAAATTATCGTCCCTAAAAATGATTATTCTTGTAGTGACGGTCACCACCATCTCCATTTCAACCGCCAACCCCGACCCTCCGCCACCAAACTGCAGCCACAGCTCCGACCGGCCCCGTCTCCATCAGTAGTCAACCAAACCTCATCAATTTACCATCACCGCCGCCGGTCACACCATCCGGCACATGCTTCAACTAAGTCATGTTCGGTGACTCTAGCTCCTCCCGACCACGCATAGTCGCCGTCGTAAAATCTGGAAACGCAACAAAGTTCAAGAACCTCGTCGGCAGTGGCCGTATCATTTCCGGCCACCCTCCTAATCCGCCGTGAAATTTGGTTTTGAGATCTCAGGGCTATGTATGTCTCATGGTTGTTCTTCGGCGGCGTATAACCGGTCATTGGAGAGGAGTAGGCGGCAGGTGGTCGTTGGTCGGAGATGCCTGCGATGGTGAAGAGGTGTTTGAAAGTTGGGGATTTCATTTGAGAATTAGATATATCTAAGGGACTGAATTGCAATTTTAAATATTTTTAATATATCTCAATTTGATACATGGGTCAAATGCATAATTTATATAAATATGTTAAGGTGCAACGCGTCTAACATTAAGGTGTAATCAGATAGTCGTTAATGTGCAACTCGACTAACGTTATTGTACAATTGCNGTTTAAAAAAAACTGTCATCGAACCAAAATAACCGGATTTTTAAAAGTAAAAATTCGATCACAAATCGTTAGTTAGATATTGTGCAGACATTAATGTGCAATACGTCTAACACTAATGTGCAATATGTATAACATTATTATTCAGATTAATTCGATCTATTAATTGAATTATCTAAATAATATATGGATTATTCATTTCGGTCGGTACATACA